ATAAAACAACATGTCTAACTTTATAAAACAATGCGTTGCACATTATAATCACACTCCACAATGAATGTCAACAACTACCACCAAGTAATTAAGCAATATAAATATTAAAATAAAAAAAAAATGAGTGGCATAATAATTTAGTATCCATCACATAATATATTCTAAAGAAAAAACACACACACAATCCTGTTAAAATATCAAAATACTAATATTGCACTTTATATATCAATGCATTGCACTTTATACAACAATACGTTGCATTTTATATCACGACGCGTTCCTTGTACTAAATTTACACTAATTCTAACGATCGATCGAATAATATTAGTTGGTTAATGTCAGATTTAATTATTTTAAATAAATAAAATAACTGAACATGCCGAACTATATGAAAAAAAATCCCGTTTTATTTTTATTTATTTATATTTATTTATCATAATGTTGCTATTTTTTTATCTATATGTTTTAAGTACTAGGAGTGCACGTTCATGTTATACCAATTGCACATAAATGTATATCAGATTGCACAAAATCAAAGATAAACATAAACTCAGTACGAATTCTTATAGTTTGGTTCTATTATTATTATTATTATTATTATTATTATTATTATTATTATTATTATTATTATTATTATTATTATTATTATATATCTGGAATTTCAGTATGATGACTTTTTTTATTTAAATAACTTAAATAAAGACCAAACTATATTAAAAAATATTATTTTGTAAAATTTTTATTCAATTGCGACCACAATTAACAAGACTAAAATTTTCGATTCGAAATTTTATATTTCTATCATATATATTTTTACTTTTAATTTTAAAATAATGAATACAATATTATAAATATAAATAATAAGTTAATTCAGTTATTTCAGTTAAGTCAAATAACTAACCAAATAAATTGAGCATTTATGTTCGATTTTAATTTGGATTGTGGTAAAAAAACATCATCGATACGATTAATGGCTCATGATTTTACACATTCACGATCAAAGTCATGCACATTACTGTTATGCAAATAGCACATTAATGTCTCACGGGTTGCACATCAGCAATCAAAGTTGACCAAAGTAATATTTTTCGATTCCAAACTTTATACGTTTAGTGCAAATATAATTTTCAAAATTTAAAAGTTCGTTTATTTGGTTTCACTATCGAAAATTTTAAAAATTACTTATCACTATGTTTATATTTAATAAATTATCAATAATTTAGAATAAATATTTATCTCACTAATTAATTTATGTTATAATTAAAGTTTTAAAAACTTACAAAATAGTCCCTAACATTAACCTAATTTCCATAAACTATACCCTAAATCAACTCACACCCAAAACACCTCAAATTACATTTCATACACACCCTTTTTTTTTTCCAAGGGAAAGGAATCTCATTGATGAAATATGAATAACAAAGTTTAAATACAACACAATAATCTATCACTAGCCGGGCAATATGAGAGAACCATTCTAAGATGGCCTAGACACCCTGACTGCAACAATCAACCACCAAAGACAACATGAAGAGATGACATCTTCAGTGACACCTAAACCAAAGCAGAATAACAACAAAACTAAACAAACTAATCAATACAAAGAAAATGCAATCCTGCAACAAAGACTACAATTCCAGCAAAGGCAGCAGCCCTGCACAGAGATGCCTACCACAGCAATTCAGATGATAAACCTAAGGGCCTATAGAGCTAAATTCTTTACATTCTTGGACAACATTCTTACTACAATATGCTCTGGCATCCATACACACCATTCACACGGCCAATTCACACAATTTCTTCACAAAGAGAATCAAATTAATTTGCACCTAATCAAAATTCACACAAACCATGATCCAATTCATCAGCTCCAATAATATTTCCCAAATTCACACAATTTATTCATATAGATCAACCAATTAATTTGAACCAAAATCAAAATTCACCCAAATAATGATCCAATTCCTCAGCCCCACTAGAATTTCCGACCGTCGTTTCCAATCTCCCGTTCAGATCGCCGGCAAGCACGTCCTGTTCAGGTACCAATCTCTCAACTATTCCTCTGCAATTCGCCGGAACAGCGGCCCTCGCCGTCAGTACAATCTGGGCGATCCATGGGCGGACTGAGCGAGCTTGGGACACGTGCGGGTGACTGTGATGGCGGCGCTGGGA